GCCCCGAAAGCGACCTGCGGTACCTGCGCCCCTGCGTCCCGCGGCAGCTCCCGCCTCGGCGCTCCGCCGCCGCTCCCGCCTTCCCGCCGCCGCCGTAGATTCAAAATCGGAACCCGCTCCAGGCACCAACGCCGCCTCCCCTCGTCGCACGCGCCGGGCCGTTATGCAAATAAGCCCCGTGTCCCCTCCCCTCTCTCGGCCGACCCCGCCCCCTCCGTGGGCACAGGGGCCGGCAGCGGGGGCTGCCTCGGAGCCGGCCAATCGCAGGGCCGGCCATCTTGGCGGCATGCAAATGAGCCGCCGGTTTATTTAAATGAGCAGGTGGCTCCGCCCCCTGGCGGGCGGTGGCGGACGGTCCTTGGCGGTAACGCGGCGGGGCGCGCCGCAGCCCTGGCTGCCAGGGGGCGCTGTGGTGGGGCCGGGGCTGAGGGCCGAGGGGCCGGGCGGGAGCTGCCGGGCGGCCGCGGGCAGCCGCTCGCCTCCCCCGCCGCTTCCCCTGCCCTGGGGCCCCTCTGACATCCTTGAAAGCCTGCCCGAGGTCCGTGGGGCAGCTCTGAAAATAACCTGGGCTACCAGCCTCCTGCGTCGTTTGCGGCAGCTTCCTTACTGCTCCTCTCGTCCAGCTTCTGGGCTGTGTGTGGGGTAACCTCAAGTATTCTTTACTACAGGCCGCGCCTGGCCAGAACACGGAGGTTTGGGGGGGTTAACTACCGGCTTCGGGTTTCAAGTGTGCCAAGAAACCAAATGGTACCATTGGCGCGGCTTTAAGTGGATCTAAGGCACGCGGCCTGCCTGGGTGAGCTGCAGGTCAAAACCGCGTGTGGCCGTTTCCCACCTGCCCTCCATTTCTGCCTCAGAGGTGCGGGGGGGAGGGGGAGAAAACCGGGGGACCTGCTTGAATCTGAGCCAGAACTCGGCACCCTTTGTACCATAGCCAAAGGTGGGAATGACCGTTGCCAACAGCTGGTCTGTCCCACAAGGCACAGGGTCAGGTCCAGCAGAGAGACTGGCGGCTGTATCCTCAGGTACACAAGAAGGTACAAGAGCATAGAAGGGCACGTGCAGAGTTTTCAGCAGAAATGCTGATACACCACCTGTGCTCATCTAGTGCTGAGATTCAGGTACCGGTCCCCTACTAACCCTGCAACGGAGAGTCCCATTCACTCCTTCTTGAGGCCAGCAAGGTTCACATTCTTCCTACTTGGAGGCATGAAAAATGGCATCCTGATTTATCTACTTCAAGAATAAGCTAAATATGAATTAACTTTTTGTCTGTTGCGTACAGACCAGGCTGACCAACAGAGCACTCTGTTCCTATATGTCATAAAATAGTACCTGTGACACAGCCATTGTAAGAGTCCTGTCAGGTGTGCATGGTGGATTGAGGGTCAGTGTTTTAAGATGTTGCCATTCCCAGTGGTTTGCCTGACCTCCCTGCTACATGATTCCATTGCACTGCCAAGATGGAAGAAGGAAATGCATACATGTGCCCATAAATTTGTGCAAACACATCTGCAACAGTGCTTTAAGCAGGTGTACTAGCCTGGGAACTTGAACTGCTGAAACGTGAATGTACATCTTGCTCTGCCATCTTTGCTACAGGTGTGAGAAGAGAAAGTGTGGCACACACCTGCACAGTAATTTCTTAAACTTTCATAGCTAGTTTTATCAAGCTGCAGTGCAACACTGGAATGTTTTGGTTTGGAAAAAGGCAATTTGAATTTCAGTTGAGTCTTCTGAGTTTTTGCCTACAGAGGACAAGTCATTTCAGAAGGAAAGGCTAGAACTATCCAGAAGTGGGCAGTTCCTAGCCATGCCTGTTGTTTAACTTGAAATTTCACTGCTGGTGAGCACTTTTGTGGAGTCTATGCATATGCATCCTTTGAGAGTCAGTCAGGAGTGAATGCTTTGTGGCTAAAAGATGCATGTTTTCAGAAAACTGGGTATTAGTACAGCCATCTCTTTGGATAACAATTGGTGTTATTCCAAACTTAATTTAGTATGGAAGCAGTTACAGCAACATAGTATTTTGTCCACTGCAGTGCATTTCCTGAAGAAGGTTTTGTCACCCTAAAAAATACACAGTTTGTCAAGTCTGCATTTAGGTAAATGTGCTGCTATTAGCTTGATTTTTTTGTCCTTACAAATAAATAGAAAATACAGAAATGCACTGTCATAGTTTAACCCCAGCCATCGACTGGCTCTATCACTCCCCGCCCTCAGCTAGACAGGGGAGAGAAAATATAACAAAAGGCTTGTGGGTCGAGATAACGACAGGGAGAGATCACTCAACCAATTACCATCACAGGCAAAACAAACTCGACTTGGGGAAAACTAAATTAATTTACTGCCAATCAGACTAGAGGAGAGTAATGAGAAATAAAACCAAATCTTAAAACACCTTCTCCCCACCCCTCCTTCCTTCCTGGACACAGCTTCACTCCCTAATTCCCCCCCCCCCCCCCCCCCCCCCCGGGGGGGGGAGGGGGGGAGGGGGGTGCGC